AAATATGGTAATTGATGACTGTAAACATATCGCAAAATTAATTGGTTTAGAACAAGTTTTTATTCTTTTCTATATATACAAACGAAAAACATATTAAAAAAGAGTAATAAACATTTGAAAGATTATAAAATTTGACTGACACCTGTAGAAGTTTTTTAGATTTTATACTATAATTAAAAAATGGTATATATTTGACTTGTTTTCTTCTAATTTTTGAATTTTAAACTTTTGAGTTAAGCGTTTTTCTTTATGTTTCGTTTTGTCGTAATCATTTATAGATTTTTAATAGTAGAAATTTTTATTACTACTACAAATGGTTACATCGATTTTGTAAAGGAGTTCGACTTAATTATAAAAACAACATAATGTGAGGTTAGCGTGTTTAATGTCAAAATTATTGTTATGTTAATCATTTATTAATTTTGCACAGTCAATGATTACATGACTAAAGTGAAAAAGGCTTACATTGGAACAAAAATGCATTCAACAGTCAAGCACCGACGATAAGAAAATGTTAATCCGCTTTTGTTATGGATTTGAGGAGATTATATAAGTCTAATTTTTGTTTGGTTAGAAAACTATTTTAATAATGATTTAAACTACTAGACTATGAAGTATGGTAGACCAAAACAAAAAAAAGACCATGAGGTAGGTCAATACATCATTCCATAGCAACACTTAAAAGTTAATTACTCATCAAATTAAATGGTACAATTTGTGGTTGACATGATATTATTCGGCTGAATGTTAGAATACTTCATAGATAATTAAATACACATGCTATTTTTTCGACTTTCGTTTATAACACGTTACATTTGTCCCATATCTTGACCTACTTGCTAGTGAGACATGTATTAGTTGTTGTTTTTGTTCCTTTTCTTAGACAAGTTTTAGTTAAACACTCCATCTTTGTTTTTCTATTCATAACATACCGAATCAATCTTGGTTTGGGCCTAACCCAACTTAACTTTTTATCACACAAAAAAAGTCTTGAGTGCAAGATCATCTCAATGGATTCAAAATAGTTCGAATTTCATTTGAGTTTTGACATAGCTTGATGGTGTTATGCATAAT